AACTGGAGACCAATACCAAGGTGAGTTAGCATCTGTATGAGTATGAAAGTACTTGATCTCTTGTGAAAAAGAATAGAGCTCTTGACTGGGTTGGAAGTGTTGAGAAGATGGTGGTGTTCTGTAGGTACGCAACTGCATTGATAGATACAAGCAGTACCTATCAGTGCCATTGCTTACCTTAAAAGCTTGTCCCAACAGTGAGCAGCTATTGCTTCAGCCCTAGTGAAAATGGGGGCAAAACCCATTTTATAACTAATAATACTGAGGGATCTCTTGAATAACATGTTGCTCTTGGCCCATGCGTTGGAAGCCCCAGCCTTCTAGGCTCAAATTGAACTGCATATGTGAGTTACTTTGTTCTTGTTATAGCTTTTGATCTTGAGAGTAAAAAAGCCATGCAAAATAAAGTGGAAGTGAATCTAAAACAGCGTCAACACTTGCAGATGAATCTGATGTTTTGTGCCTACAGTATGTCTGTGGGAATGCCTTTTAAAATGCAGCAAGCAGCTGCTGTTCAAACTCTCCAGGCTGGGAGAGGCAGATCTAAGTATCTTGCCTGTTCCTGCGTCAGTATGCTGCCAGTATGTGGTATATGAAACTAGCTTTTTGCATGGGTGAAATCAGCTCTGTTTTGGGAGGTCTCAGTTTTAGATGAGCCCTCCCTCATGATGCCTTGCATTGCATCTTCCCTTTGCTAATACACATCCTGTGCTTGCTGTGTTACCTTATGCCTATAAAAAGTGGTGGTTGGTCTGTGCAAGGAGTTTACGTGGAAGGGCAGGAAGGGAGTACAGAGTAGACTGTCTCAAAGTCCTGTGGGATTACAGACAACCATATCACATGCTCCTCTGACTTCAGTTATTTAATCTTGCCTGCCTATTTGAGAGAGAAAATTGTTGACTTTGGCTCTTTCTTTCTCTCCTGTTCAGTCCACTCCTTCTGGCAAAAAGTATAAATTCATTGCAACAGGCCATGGCCAGTACAAGAAGGTGTTGATAGACGATGCTGCAGAGAAATAGCATGCCTGGAGAACTCATTAACCAGGTAGGTGGGGTATGACCTTGCACTGCCTTACAAGCTCCTGGTACTGTTCTGGCAGGGCGCTGGGGCTATTTCTGCCAGCTACGCTTTAGGTGAGTTGGAAGGTACTACATGGTAACAGCTGGAGCCTTGCTTCTGGGCAGGTGCCTGACTTTGTGAGCTGGGAAGGAGCGGGTACACAGTAGGGGTTTGTTTTGGTCTCTGACTTTCTGATGCTGCTAGGAAGCTTGATATCCGAGTTAATCTGCAGAGTAAATCCCTTAGCTACTGCTGGTTGGGTGAAGATGCGCTTGCCTTTGCTAGTTCAAAGGAACAGTCTCTATCTGCTGTCTTTTCTTATACTCCCTTATGATGCAAGGATAAGTAGGTAGCTGAAGGTCATTCTGGCTAAGCATGGGATCTGATACAGTTCTGAAATTCAGATGCTTCTGGGGTCCAATTCCCAGATTTACTGAATTAATCAGGGGAAGGGAAGAACTCTTAATGATTTCAATAACCTCTTAGAACCAGTCCGTAATAGGGTTGTAGTGGGGAGGACATGGACATCTGCTGTGCTGGGTAGACCAACAAAGCAGAAAGGATTGTCCTCTGATATGAAGCAAGGGGGAAAGCAGAGCTGGGTTGCTGTTTTTGTGCCCTCTTGAAACAGTCTTTGGATCTCATGCTCATATTGTGTTTATTTTAATAGATATCCTGGTGTTATCTTGAGTGGATGATAGCAGAGGGTTGCAGCAATAAGGAGGAATGTTGTACAGGGCTGTGATAACTAGTTGGATCCAACTGGGCAGCATCTGGCACAGTGAGAGGAGAGGAAGTTGTTGGGGGTAAAAACAAGCTCATTCTCATTTTTTCTGCTATAAAAAAGAAGCTTTATTTTGTAGCCAAGCTTATAAATAGCTCTGTCTACTACAAACCACCTTTTGTTTCTGAATTCTTCTGAGAGCCATGTTCCTTTTTTTTCTTCCCCCTTTCCTTCCTTCAAGAAGCTGGCTTCTGAGTGCAGCACATTTTGTCTGTTGTTTGATTTATTTAGGCTTTTTCCCCTTTTGTGGTGCCCATTTAGAGCAGGAGGTCTCTTAAATGCCACTTTGAGATGGGCAGCAGTACAAACCCAAGCCTGGCCAAAGCTATGTTTTTAGATGTAAAGGAGGAGCCTACAGGACTTACAGCCTCAACTTGATTCTCTGCCTGTAGCTTTCAGAAACTTATTTTAAGGTCTTCTTTTTGATCAGTCTTTTTCCTGAGGTCTGTTTTGATGCACCAGGTGGGATCCTGCTGAGCTTCAGTTCTTTATAGCAAATAGGCATTGCTAGAATGTCAGCAGGTTTAATTTGCCGTACCTGAGCTCCTGCAGGCAGTTCAAAGGCAAGTGACCTTGGCTCTGCCCTTTTTCTAGCATCCTTTCTTGAAAGGCTATTGACTGTCATGGGCTGTCCTTTTGGATTCACCCAGCACTCCAAATAGCCGTGGCAGAACACTGCCATGTAAGGATTTTTGATTCTGAATAGCAAAATGACTGCAATAGCTGAAGGATATTGGCTCATTTCTTGGGTTTTTAGCTGTTTTGTGTGCTGTGAGGTCCCAGCTCCTTTCCAGCCCCCTTTAACTACGTTCATCCTGCCAGATCCCTTTGTGATTGCCTTTATGCTCTCAAACCCTTCTGCCTCACCCTCATGTCACTCAACACCACCTTACCAGCTTTCTAGTTGCTTGAGCACAGGTACAGTTTTTCCTCCTCCCCTCTCTTCATGAGCTGCAAGATCTCTGAACAGGCTGCAGGTTTTCTCTACGTGGCAATTTGGTCTCTCAGCAGCTGCCTGAGGCAGTTTGACATTGAAAACAACCAAACTCTGTGCCCAGTGGCATTCCCCTTCCCTTGCTCAGCATGGCAACTTGGTCTGGGACGTGCTGCAATGAGTCCCAGTGCAGAGCTGCTGGTGGAAGTCTTTTGTCTCCAGGTATCTGTTCTCTCTTCTGTGATGCTCTCATGCCAGGGTCTGTCTCTGCAGGACTTGCCATGCCTGCCCTATGCCCCTGCCCTTCACTCCTGGGACAAAAGGACTAACCCATGCAGGCAGATCTGCCTTCTCTGCTTCACACTGTGGGAGCTGCTCCCCTCACTAGCCAGTCTCCATCCCTATGCAGTAGGGATGGATTGTGGATGCAGCCTGGTGGGAAGCCCAGCAGATGCAAAACATAAGCCTTATGTGAGAATCCCTGTTTTGTTCTGCGTGGTTGTCCTCACTACAGGACAAAGTGAATTAAAGCAGAACTGGTTCTGAAACCATCTTCTCTGGCTGGATTCACTTAGTCTCCCAAGGGTAATCAATATTAGCTGTTCTGCCTCATGCTGGTGCTGTGATCTTGTAAATGCAAACTCTCGTGCATAGGTATCCATCTAGCTGTGCTACACGAAAGTGCTATTTTATCACTGTGTGTAAGGTCATCTTTGTCTGCATTAGGTATTCTACATGTTTTATGCTGCACTCTTTTTGATTTTGTATTGCTGCTGTCTCTATAGCCTTCTCTTGCAGCATGCTGAATTATCCTGCAGAGGCTTACCTGGGATCCGCTCATGATGACTGGTGCATTTCCAACCTACCTCTTTTCAGTTTTTTCTTGGAAAACTGGGATGTTGAAGTCCAAAATTTAGATACTTGCTTTATTCTTCCTTCTCTTTTATTTTCTTGGAATAGGGAAGGAATTGCAAACCAGAATAAGACCAGCAAAGTGAAAACCTCAGTGAAGGTTTGATAACTGAGCTCTTCTTACAGCATAAACCAAAATTGGAAGACTTCAAAGAAGAATAAGTGACTCTTGGTTTTGTTTCTAAGTCTGTTTGAAGTTGGGCTTGGGGAAATTTTTGGTCAGCTCCATATCCTCTGCAAATGAAGAGAATGTAAAGAGCTGTGTATCAAGTTTCCTATTTGGACTAAACATAGCAATTCTATATTAGCTGTGTAGGAACATCCCAGCATATGACAGAGTTCCTTGTGAAATAGAAATAGCTGATCTCCAGCTTTCATGCTCATAAGCCTGCTGCCAATGAAGATGCAAAGGGTAACTGTAATGAAGGAAAGCACAGTTGTCTCCTGTGGATGGGCAGAGTTGGGGATTTTGTTTTAAATAGCCTTTTTCTCAGGACATTAGGCACCAGTAAGTACACAACTATCATGATGTTACCGCTGAAAACAAGACTACATGTGGTTAGCAGAATTCCTCAAAACAGCACCTTGTTAAATACATATTTGGATACCCACATGCTGATGGAGGCTCTTGTTGGTTATCATGGAAAAACTGATCCCCAGCTATACTTTAAAAGCATGGTCAAATAAATAGTAAAACTTGATTATTGCAATAAAATTGTTGTTCTGTGCACTACCATTTAGCAGACTGAGCAAGGCAGACATCAAATGATGATGTCCATTCTTTTTTAGGCAGGGGAACCACTATGTGAGAGTGGGATGGATATCTTATGGAGTCCCTTGTCAGTGCCTGCGGTGGAAGGATGAGTTTCCACCTTGTTTTCAGTGCATGGTGTGGGGTGCAGTTTCAGTCATGAAGATAGAGATGCGTATATTCTTGGAGTTCAGTTTCTAAGATTCCCTAGAGGAGATGTGGAGTGACATAGATTCCTTCATATTGTCCTATCTACAGCTGCTTCTCTTTCTAGAATTTATCTTGGTCTTAAATAAACACAACAAAATAAATTCAAATTTCATCATCCTCCTCTAAATTGGGCTTTTTCTACAGGCAATTTGTCCTCTTCACTGTGTGCCTCCCTTCTCTTCCCTGTGCTATTGCATACAGTGGTTGTTGCTTGCTCTTTTTAGAACAAGTGCATGTGTATGTTTGTTTTCCTGGCTCATGACTTGTGGATGTAGTATGTCATGCATTTAAGTTTATATACACATGGAGAGTAATCCTTAAACCCACAGCATGAGGCTGCTGGCTTGAAGGGATTTTATTTAATTTTATTTTTTCCTGATGCTTGGCTCTGGGCTGTAAACCTTAGTCATAGGTGTTCTCTTGCTTGGTGCCGTGTAAGAACCTCCAGAGATGTGGGCCTGTTGAAGCAGCCTGGCTTCAGTTGGCTGACCATCCTGATGCTGTTCTGTTAAAGATCTCGATGTGCTCCTCAACCGCTTTGGGTCTAAACCGGCTCACCTCAAAAGCGGTGGTGATCTTTGTCATGGGTTTGGTAGCCAGTTCCCTCAGTTTTCGGGCATCAAAACGTGGCTTGTGTAGAAGGATGGGTAAACGGCGGGGAAGAAATAAGCTTTCCTCCTTTCGCAGCTTCTTCTCTTCTGCTTGCTGTTTCCTCTCCTTGTTGACTGTCATCTGGTATAAAATAGCATCCCACATTCTTGTGGCCTTCGATTTAAACAGCCTGCAGTCTTGTGTGATTGCTTGAGAGCTGTTCTCCTCCTTCTCCTTGCTCCCTTCCTCCTGTCCCAACTTTTCTGGCTCAGACTCTGGGAAGCTGGGTGCTTCTGGCTGCACCATTAAGTGCTTCCTGAGGCGATGCCAGCCACTGGCAGTAGCTCCAGGAGGCCTTGCTTCTTCTATTGGTGATAGTGTTGGCTCATCTTTGAGGGGAGGGCTGGTGTTTGGCAAGCTGGGGGTCAACTGAGGTTGAATGACATGTTCTGCTTTGGTGTCTGTGGAGGTGGCACTGGTACTGTCAGCTTGTTCTGGGGTTTCTGTTGCTGGGTGTGCTTGCATGCAGGGAGCACTGGGTGTGGATAGTTTTTGGATGTCCTGGTCTTGCTTGGGTAATTTGGGTGCTGTCTCTGATCCAGATATTTCAGTGTCACTTCCATGGGTCATAGGCTTATCAGTGTGACCACTGGCAATGCTGGGCTTGGGTGAAGGGGTCTTGATGGAATCTTCAGTAAGAGCAGGCCTAGGAGCTTGCTTAGGTGGCTCTGCCTCTGCAGCAGAAAGGAGGGGATGCTCCAGTGCAGTAGACGTGGCCTTGCTGTCATTGAGCAGGGTGGGTATCTGCCCTGGGTATGGTTGAGAGCAACTTGCTTCAGGTGCTGGTGAAGAAGGCCTTTTGTCTTCATGGCTGGTGGTTCCTTGGGTCGGATTTGATGTGGCTGTCTTAGCTCTGGGTGGCTTGACACTGTGGAAATAAGTGTGCACCTTGGTGATGTAGGTAACCTCTGGTGCCCTTTCTTTACTGGGTGTACTGGTAGGAGGAGGCTGGGGGAAAATAGATATCTGAGGGTCATGTAGAGAGGGGAGGTGGGTATTTGTGCCCTCAGGCTGTTGTGGAGTCTCAGGAGCTTCTGGCTTGTGTAGCAGGGGCATGGCTGGCGAGTTTGTGAGAATGAGGTGTTCGGCAATGCGCCTCTGCTCAGTGACCTTCAGCGTGAAAGGCTTGCTCTTTCGGAAAGGGGAGGGGATGCGGTGAATGGTGGGCTTGATGGAGAGTCGGGCTGGGAGGCTGGTGGAGGCAGGCATGATGGTTTTGAGGGTCTCTGCTGGGGGAGCGCTCTCATTGTGCTCTAGGTCAGAGCTGGCCTCATTCACGGGCGAGAGGCTGGACCGAAAGGACTTGGCTTGCTCTGAAGCTCGGATAGCGTTCTTCTTGGCTGCCTTCTTCAGCAGCCTCTGGAGCTGCAGGTTGTCCTTACTGGGCTTTGGTAAGGTGGGAGGGGGAGAAAGGTGGTGGTGAATGGGAGCAGGCTGGATGGAGGATGATACTGTTATCAGCATTGGCATCCCCTGAAAGAAAACAAAAATCTTAGAGTTGACATGGGCTTACTGCTGGGCTAGATCTGAAATATTCATACATAAGGCCTCCTTTTCCTCTCTCCAAAAGCTATGAGTATAGAGTCAGAATTGTGGAAGAAAAGCATCCATCTTGGTTTCCTTAATCTCCTAAGGAGCCCTCATCCAGTCTTGAGGGTAGTGTGGGATATAGATGGGGGATGTGGTAGTGTGGATGTGGATGCAGATATAGAGATGTAGTGAGGGAAGCAGTATTACTGAATCTGTAGCCCTCTCTCTCCTGGTGTTAGAGCAAAATCCAGTGAGAGCTCCTTGGGACCCCAGACATTTGTGTCTTGGCAACTCCTAATGCAATTTAGAAGGAACTGTCAAGAGAAACAGAGCAGGTCTGAAATTCTGAAGCTTTAAAACATTCTCCAGAGGCATAAATTAATACCATTTCATGGCTTTTAAAATTCCCATTATTAATACTCTGATACAATGTAATGTACAACATAAGTCATAAACTACATGTGTCATTTGAATCAAAGTCAACACTGGCCTTGATTAATTTCAGCTGGCCTAAAGACATCCCTGTGAAATGCAGGGCTTTAAAAAGCTGTGATTATCTGGTGAGTTAGTGCTTTGTCACAAAGCTAACTCTGATTGTAATTTCCTTGTTGCACCAAGCACAGTGGCAATCTTCTCCTCCTGCACTCAATTTAAAACCTAGTTTTCCCTTTCCGCTGGGGAGCATTGCCACTGTCCTGCCTGTATCACTCATTCTTCAGTGAAACAGAAATGGGTTGTGGTCTGAGTCAGGTCTTATCCCCAGTAGCAATTGCAGCTGGACAACCTTTAGCCAACACTCTGCTGCTCCTGGGGAGATGCACAACTGCTCTCTGTTGTTAACTTGCCACCAAATCCTTTCCGGTGAGCACCAATCAGATTACCTGCATAGTGGAGCTAAGGGTCTGTGTTGGGGATAGGAAGATGAAACTAGTCTCTCTTCTCCTCTTTCTCTTCCTGAACAGGGCTGGGGAGCACCAAACACTCAGCCTCTGACCTGCAATGATTCTTTGGCAGCCTACCAAAGAAAATCTGACTACCCTGGTTCTCACTCAGCACGGAGTTGCTGACTTTTGCTGTGAAACTAGGCATAAATCACTGAGCCCCTTAGTCCCCTATGCTGGATGCAAGTGAGCATCCCAAAACAATGAAGAAGTGGAATGATGTCTGGGTTGCCCAGAGGAACTACTGGCTCTGCTTGTTTCCTGGTGGCTCCCAAGCTGCTCTGGCTAGTGTGGGTGTGTAGCATACCTGCTCTGCAGAAAACTATCCAGAATATAACTCTCAAAAGTGCAGAACAGCTTTTTGTGCTTGACTGCTCAGTGTTGCTTTTGGGCTTGCAGTGCTGCTGTCAGCACTGGGCTGGGAAGCTGATCTGTACTGAACAAGCAGTTGGTATATCTGACAAGACTGATTTGTGGATGGGCATGAAAAGATGACTGCTATTAAACAACAACAAAACTCCAAACAACCAAAAAATCCCCAAAATTACCACCCCACAAAAAACTAAACCAACTCCAACAAATGCAGCAGCAAATGAAAGGACTGAAGAGGTGGCATTTAGGGCACAAAGCCTTCAAGATGAAGCTTTCACCGTGGTGGATGAGCTGTGATCCATAGCATAGGCTGTGATGGGCTGGACGTAGGAAGCTTCTAGCAAGTAGTGCACTTCTACCAACAGATTTCTGAAGTACAAGGAAGACACAGACCTGTTGGAGCAGGTCCAGAGGAGGGCCACAAAAATGATTGGAGTTGATGGAGCGCCTCTCCTATGAGGAGAGGCTGAGAGAGCTGGGGTTGTTCAACCTGAACAAGAGAAGGCTCCAGGGAGATCTTATTGTGGCCTTTCAGTACTTAAAACTTTTCTTATAAGAAATTTGGGATAGACTTTTTAGTAGGGCCTGTTGTGATAGGAAAAGGGGTAATGGTTTTAAATTAAAAGAGGGTGGATTCAGACTGGATATAGGGAAGAAATTCTTTACAATGAGGGTGATGAAACACTCCAACAGGTTGCCGGGATAGGTTGTAGAAGCCCCATCCCTGGAGACATTCAAGGTCAGTCTGGATGGGGCTCTGCGCAACCACATCTAGTTGAAGACGTCCCTGCTCATTGCAGGAGGGTTGGGCCAGATGGCCTTTAAAGGTCCCTTCCATCACAAACTATTTTGTGATTCTAGGATTTATTTTGGCTACAGGCATGAGAATCCTCCTGTTGTTTTGGTGAGGGGGCTCGGAGGGGATTTATGCCAGTTGGGGGTGACAACTGTTGGGCATTCCCAGTGGCTTATCAGCATCATGCCTTAGGCACAAGGCTGGGATTAGGACTTGCTCTATTCCAGGAGCTACTCTTAGAAACAAGTCTGCACTAGCCTGAAATAAAGGCTGAGAGCCCATTCCTTTATCATATACCTGTTCTCCCTAGCCTTGTGGATATTCTAGGTTCTTCTGGGTCAGAAAGTCAGAATGCCTCAGTTGGAGAGGTGCATACTTGCTTTTGTGAATCACTGCTGTGGTTCAGATTGTATAGGAATTGGTAATCGCTTGTGTGATTTTTATCTGCTGCGAGGTGAGCTAGGATGTACATCTGTTAGGGTTGATTGTGAGCTGATTTCATCTGCTCCCGTTTAATGTGGTCCTGTGGACAGCCTGTCCTACAAGATGAGCTGTGGTCTAGCAGCACTGGTAAACCAAAATTACAAGGTTGATTTGCATCAGGCTTGTGCTGGGATAAAAAGGCAGGATAGCGAACTTCCCAAATACTGATGACCTGTTTGAGTGTTTTCTATGGACTGCTGTACCCCACAAAAAGGCATCTGCCTGTATAGGCCATAGCAGGATTTTGCCTGGGATTTGCTGCAGACTGCCAGATGTTACTGAGGAGGCCATGGGGGTTCTTGGAGTAAGAAGTTTAGATATAATCTGCATGCACTAGGAAGGGTTTCCCTCTGTTCCCAAAGTTCAAGGCTGCTTTATGCCCTACAGCCTCAGATTTTTGGTGTCTTACAATAGTGCTCTTAATCAATTTTGCTACTATCTCAGCATCTCATCTGACTTGAAACCTGCTGTTCTGTGGCCCTGGAGATCTTGTGGGTGGTAACTTCCATGGCATGTGACTGTGCTGGCATATTTGTGTTTGATTAGTGAGGGAGACAGATGTTAAAAACAGAAAAAAAGGAAATCAGCTTTTAATTTATTTGCCTTCTCTGTCATGCTTGGCTTTGTTTGAGTCTCCTTCAGAGCTTTGTGCTCAGGAGAAATTCTGCAATGAGCAAGACTTGTGAGCATCTTCCCCCTTGCTGAATAATGAAGCAAAAGCAAAGGGACAGACAGACTTGCTTTATTGCCCTTGGAAAGGCCAGAGCTGAAAATCCAGGGGAAATTGAATGGGAACTCTGGTGTGTATGTGATAAGCTGGAAGGAAATTGAGCTAGAAGCTGAGTTAAGAAGCTTTCAAAGGGTTAAGCTTCCCTGCTACTGGTTGAATGCCTGGTGGTGGAGGGGAGGTCACCCACCTTTGGAGCCCAACTGTTCTCCTGAGGTCCACTCTCTTTGCATCAACCCAAAAGCAGGAATGGTGGGGAGGGTGTAGCATGGGGGAGTCATTTATCACATGATGGAAAAGTCATTTGCACGTGAAGCCCCTCGGCTGTACCAGCTGTTATGCGTGGAGCAGATGGAGAGCTGCAGGAACCCGATACTGCTGCAGATGGTCCCAAGAAGCGAGCTATGGCTGCTGGGGGCTGCAGGAGCATGCTGTCCATGTCAGTGGCTTTGTCAGGCTTGGAAGGAAACCTGCTCATCTCCTTCTTGGGAGGAGGTGGGTGGGTAGGAGCATGTTCCTCCTTCTGCCTGGGCAGCTGTGACCTCTGCCCGGTGTGCAGCCCTCAGCATCTACTCTGCCATGGGCACGTGGCATGGTTGGCTGTCCTGCAGTGCTGAAGCTTTATGGGATGTTTCACAGGGCTCTGTTAAATGGGTGGAACAAAACCACCTGTAATTGCTGTCAAGATGCAGCCTCTGTACAGCCCAGGGTATGGCTGGTTGCAGGCCAAATGGTATGAATAAACCTGTTGATTTCTTGTCTTTCAGCTGAGCTTGGTCCTGGCTCGATGCAACTCTCAATGCCACTATTTCCTCTGCTCCATAGAAGATAATTGAAGAATGTTTCTCTTCTGCCTGATGCCAGCCTGCTTTGGTACAGCCTGACTGCTCTCAGGTTATGAGTAATACCCCATGCTGCCTCTGGATGGATGGAAGGAACTAGATCAGCTGGAAAAACCTACCCCTGTTATAACCTTCAATGTGACTCTGGCATTTTTTTCTTTTTCCATTTTTTTTTTTTTTTTTTTTTTTCAATCTGGCTCTGCTATGGAGATGGGAGCCTGTGCTCTGCTCCCTCTCTTCCATCCAAGTCTGGAAGAGGGGGATCTGTTGAGCTGTCAGGGATTTTGCTATGTGATGAAGAACTTCTACCTTTGTGGTTCTTGGTGGTTGGTGGTGGGAGAGATGGAGCTCAACAGAAACCTAGCAAAAGAATCAGTGTTTGGAAGGAAGGCAGTGGGCATATCCGGAGCAAGAGGCGACTGTGAGGACCACTTATCACCATGTTGGTGCCAGCTGTGGGTAAAGTCTTCCCCTGTTTACAATGCAGCCTCTGTCCTTCTACAACATCTGCTTTGAGGGATTTCCATCTACTGGATTCTGTGTACATCAAATCACATTCAACTTAGTCCTGTTTTTTAGTCTATTTCCCAGATCATCCTTTAATCGCAGTTATATACCCATGGCAAAATGTTCCTGCCACTTTTCAGTCTTGACAGTGTCAATAGCAGCTTTGTTTCAAATAGCTGCTGCCTTCCTCTCCCTAACATGGATTGGAAGTCTCCTTTCACAGGTAAGGAGTGCTGGCTGCTGGTATTACGTCCCTTCTCTGTGAAAGATATTTGTTTGTTCCTAACCTGCAGGCTCCAGTGCCAGTGACTGAAACACTTTTTCTGAATGGCAGTGGTGGTGGGTATGTTGACAGTTCACCCTCAGTGCTCCTGAAGGAGGACAGGATAACTGGGAAACAGCGGCTGTTCTTATACTGAAAGCTGCCTCAGTGAAAGGGCATCCTAGTGATTTGTTTGGGGAGGTCAGAGCTTGCTGTGAACATGGGGAAACTAAGCCCCTAAAGAGTGTTGCTCTGGCCTTGGGCCTGAGGTCTGTAAATCAGCTCCTAGGGCTGTTTCTGAACTCTCCCATGTCTTCATATGTCATAGTGTTAGCATGACCCATCCCCTCTTTATATTCTTAGTTCCTACCCTTTTCTCATGTCAACATAATTTTGCAACTTGTTTCTGCTTTCCTGGAGGGAGGACAGCTTCTCTCTCTCCTGCATCAGTGTGCTTTCTGCCTCCATTTACTGCATCCTGGATTGGTTTCTTTTTTCGTTTTGTAAGCATTTAATAAAATTTGAGGAAGATGTTGTAATGATGGCAACTCTGAGTTTATTGATATAGGAGTTCCCTCAGCAAAGCTGTTTTCCAAGATCTTGCAAACCTCTGCTTGAGTGGAAAGTGGAGAAGAAGAAACATCAGACTGAGTGACAACAAGCAAAGGAGCTTAACATATGCAGGAAAGGGGCTCGTTGTGTGCCTGTCCCATTTAGGAAATCCTTGTCATCTTGCTTCATTCTTCATTGTTACTGGGGTAATTGACTGTAAAATGGGGATGCGTGGTGTTTGGGTGAGAGATGGAGCAGCATGCAGAACACCACCCGTGGAGTGATCAGATAAATGAAGCACAGAGCCTATCTCTTCAGCTAATGGACCTGAGAACATCACAAGATTCAACCAAAAGCACTGGTAATGTTAAATGTTTAAAAAAAAAAATATTGAAAAAATCCTCTATAGCCTGCTTATACAGTTTAGATGAGATCAATATAGCTGTCTGTGCAGGAACCCAGCACTCTAATGAGCTGGCTATCCTATTTGGAACCATCTAATGAAGAAACCTTTCCATGGAGGTGACCTTGCAAGTAATAACATTTCTATGGTGCAGAGATAGAAAATAGTTTCTGCTGCCCTTACCTACACTTTCTTAAACTGTTAGGACGAGGAAAGTTCTCAGATACCACTTCTTACTGTCATCTTGCTTTATTGGTACCCTTGTCCCCTTCATTCTCTGCTTCAGGTCCTGGAGGTAAGAATGCAAGGAGCATGTTCCTCAGAGAGCACTGAGGAGTGTGGACAACATCTGGGCCCATCTTCCTCATTTCAGCTGTTCCTCCTTTCAGCCCTTTCTCTGCCATGCTGGGGTTTTCAAGTGAGGCATGCTAATGGGGTGTACGGAGGTGTTCTGATTTAATGCAAAAGCAATGATACTGTGCCCTTGCATGCATGCAAATTGGTTGCACCAATTTGTTTGCAGCTCTATTCTGCAGTTTGCTGATGGAAAGCATGGTCAGAAATTTGACCTGTTACTATTCCTGTTCCCTGCTTGGAGAGTGCAGAAGGAGCCCCAGAGGCTGCTTGTGTGGGATTCCCTCCCTGAGGAGGGTTAATTTTCAGGGCATGTTTTCCTCACTTAAAGCCCACTTGGACCTAGGTGCGGTTTCAACTGAAACAACTGCATAACTCGGGTTCTGGTTACAGCACAGAAGTGAGCAGGTTATGTGGGAGGCCAGAGTGCTCTAGTAGTGCTGAGGAGCCAGGGAAAGGCCTGCTTTGGAGCACGTGTGTGTAGCTCTTTATGAGGTACCTGTTTCTGCCAGAGGAAGTTTTCCCACAGTTAAATTAACTGTATGGTTTGCTGTTTCTCCTCATAAAGTAACGTGGTGTGCATTCAGTGATGGGAGTGGCAGTGCGGTTACCAGAATGGTGAAAGACACCCACAGAAAGAGATGCTGCAGCCCAGGTGTTCTGGATGTGCATCTTGGGCAATGCTAATTGGGGATGAAAGCTCATTTCTTCCCTCAGCAGCAAGCACTGGGCATTGTGGCTGATTTTATTGCTCATGTCAGAAGAAAATGTCTTGAAATGTATCTGTGAAATGTGTCTGCTCATCTCCTGCTAAAATGAGAAGTTCCTGCTGGTGAATTCACTGTGAAGAAACCAGTGTGTGGTAGCGAAGTTATGCTGCAATCTTTGCAAAGTCAAGTCTGCTTCCAGCTCTCCTGTGCATCTCTATGTGTTGCTGGGACCTTCATACTCCTAGGGATGGGAAGAGTGCTCTGGGGCTCATCTTGCTCATGTGAGTAAAGCAGAGCAGGGTGTTCTGTCTATAACAATTACTGGTCTGGTTTTATTGAGTAGCTGACTGCTCCGTATCTTTCCTACATTCATATTGTATTTTTTTCAGCATTGGCATCTCTTAGGCTTTTGTTATGATACCTTAGCTCTATCTTTTCCTGGGACTGTTTTATTTTGAGTGTAGGGAGGACAAATTGAGGCATTAAGTGAGTCTTTCTTGCAGGATTAAGCTTATCCTCAAAGCCTGGTGGAGAAGAGTGATGCTTTCTTGGCCCCTGTATCTGTTGGCTGCCAATCTGTTTTCTGTGCTGCCATCCTATCCCAGATTACTATCCCCTTTGCAGGTCAGTGGTGCTCAAAGAAAGGGGTGGAGCCCCTGTGTGGGCTGTCAGCGTTCTGACCTTGAGGCATACCCCAAGGTGTTGCCTCATTCCAATTTCTCTTTCACTGTTCTGCTTGTTTAGATTGTGCAGAAGGGGATGCCCTTTTGTACAGCACCTAGTTTTAAATCTGTTGGGAGCTACAGTAGTCATGAAATGTGCTGTGCTTGTATTCTGTACCAGGTTTCATGGCTGCTTTTTTTTCCAGCAAAGTTTGACAGATGATTCTACATGAGCATATATGAGATGGGATTGAAAAACATGGTCCACAACCATTGCAATGCCTGTTTCCTGCAGACCATAAACTAGCATTGTTTAAACTTGGGGAAAGCTTAGCTGATGCAAACCTCAAGTTTGTTATGTCTTAATATAGCATTTCTTCTGCTTCAAGATTAGGGGCTAAACTTCATCTGGTTCTTTTTCTGGATATAAAATAATTATAGGCTCCCTTTTACGGCCATCCTTATGTGTATGTGCTGGCTAATTAACAAATCTACTCAACCCTTGCTTGCAGCTCTGCACTGGGTCTCCAGTGAGGTGGTGTACACAGGAGCCTGGAGTTCCCAAATAACTTTGTTCCTTGAAATGTGTCTGCAGTTCCTGCTCTTTGCGGGAAAGGTCAGACTCTGAGAAACCTGGGGCTGGATGTCAGAGCTTCCCCTCCTGCCACCACCACCTTAGGGAAGGAAAATAAACCAGCGCAAAGAGCGGGGTGTCTATAAATAATGAGGTGGCAGCTGATGTGCTGCTGAACATGGCTCTGAGGTTAGTCTGTTGGTAACTCTTGCCAGCTCAACACTCCTTCCCTAATGCGGTGTGGTATACAAGTGTGTATATTTATATATATTTTAAAGCAGGTAAAGAATGGATCTGACAGTGACAAGAAGTGCAATGAGAGCCAGCATTTGCTTCAGAAACAGTGGACCCATTGCAAGGATCCTGATAATGGTAAATAGACCACAGGCATTTCCATGTGATTTTTGCATTTGTTCCTCTGAGGGTACTAGTTGCAGTGGAGCAATTTGATTTAGATGAAAGTTTTAGAAAGGTGTTTAATCTCTTCAGGATAACTCTAAGTAATAGTGGTTTAACAATGCTAAAGACACGTACTCTTCATCCTTCAAATAAAGAGAAAAAATGTGTCATGGGCTGAGGGCTTCTAAGAATGATTAGAAGAATAGGGGGAGGTTGAAGCAAAATATGGGGGAAAATATCATTGGGATTAATATGAGCAAGCACTTTAAAACATGAAAGCAGCAAACTGCAAGTGTAATTACTGAATCAGAGGTGCTTTGTTGGGTAGGTAGTCCTTCCCCAAGGTTATGGAGAGGCTGTGTGGCTGCTGTGAGCCCCTTGGCTGATCTCCTGCCTCACCCACCTCATTTGGGGAGCAGCCCAAAACCGCGGCTGTGATAGGGTCCTGACCCCTATCCTGCTGTTCAGACTTTGTCCTCTCTGTCAGACTGTCATCCATTTAGGTGTAAATCGCCTGAGGATGAGACACAGGCTGTGTCTTGAATGGTCCAGCCTGATTCCTTATCTTCAGAGACCTATCTAGGCTAGATCTAGGGTGTCCAAGGAGGATCTTCTGAATCCCATAGTGGTTGTGCCTTAGATGTCTAAAGCACATGGAGCAAGCACATCTCCCAGAGTGAATAATTAAATGATGCAGCATTTGGCTACGACAAAAATCAGGAATCAATATTAACTGAAGAAAGATGAAATTCAGTACTTACTGATGTGTAATTTGTTTCCATCTGCAATCACTTGCATGTTGGGTACCGCATGTTACTTGGTTCGGTTTACAAGATTAACAGGTCATTGCTTCTTGGAGATCATTTTGGGTGCTGTTTTCATGTGATTTTTGGAGCCCTGTAGGTAAGTTCAAAGCATCAGATGGAAAAAGAGTATTTACAGTAGGCAGTAGGTAAGAGGTTTCTCAAAAACTAATGAAACTAATTCTTTTGAAAGCATGAAAAATTCCATCACCTAAAATTAGCATGAAGAAGAGCTATCGAGTAACACCACTGCATGCTCCCAACTTGGGCCCTGCAAAGTTCGGCATCTAAAGTACCGGAGAGGTGAAGGGCAGATAATGGTGATGTTGCCAGGACAGATACTTTATCAGAGGCACTCCAGGCAATGAAACGAGTTGGAGGCTTTTCAAGTTTGCTGGTCAGATTTGCTGTTTTGCAAAAGTCAGGGTTGCAAAATGCGATTTTTGGAGCTGTACTTTGATTGTTACTGTCCCTAGAGAGGAAGAGTGCAAACTCTGGCTCTGTTTCTGGTTCCTCTTGGTGAGGGATGTACTGTAAGAGCAGGGTGCCCGCATGGCAAATGCTGTGCTGGGAGCAAGAGGGGGTTTGGAGTTGATTGGTTTGGTGAGTTTGGTTGGGGGTCTGTGTGCGGTTTGACTTGACGATCAGGGCTGAGGCTGCTGAAGTGAGGTAAGGGATGGCCTCAATACCTGCCTTTGCCCTGGCTGAATGTGTGAGCTGCCCAAATGCCAGCAGTTATTTATCATCTATTAGCCCTGGGGTGTTTCATCCCCTGTTCCAGCTGTCATCCCAGTTTGGGCTTTGCTTTTTCACAGCCTTTCAGGAGCCTTTGTAGTGTGGGTGCCAAGGCAGCGGGTAGGTTAAACATGGTTGCAGGGAGATGGGGGCATGCCAGAGCAGTTTCTTTGGAAGTCTACAAAGTAGCTTTACACCTAGGTTAAGCTTGGACTGTTCCATCTGGCTTTTGAAATGCTGGTGAGCTGTGACAGAAAGCCAAATCTGAAGGCAAATTCTTGCTTCTTTTCCAGGACTGTCCTGCTAAGCCTTGTGTCTTGCTGACCCTGTGTGCTAATGTACCTCTAATCTGACTTTGAGTCACTCTGTGGATCAAGGTAGCAAAGCCTTTCCCCCATCCGTCAGAGTTGTGGCCCATCTGATGAGGCCAGTTCTCATGGAAGGGATGCAGATGCTGTTATTTCTGGGTTGGTACTGGGAGGTGAGCTCTCCATTTTCTTTCTCCTGCAAATGGAGAGCTCTTTCTCTGGCAGAGCGTGGCATGATTTGGGATCATGCCAGGCTCTGCAAGGCTTGGACAATGCCAACCTATGGAAGGATTGGAGGGCAGGTGCTCCATCCTTCATGCAAATACCCTAATGCAATCAATTCCTCTGTTGGATGACTTCAACATCTCAAAACTGCCATTGTCGTTTAGCAGCACTAGTGACTTTGTGTGTCTCCAACAGTGAAAGTGTTGCTGGGGAAAAAAAGCCCAGATAATCACAACCAGAGCCAAACCAACTGGAAACTTAGAATAAACCATTATGAATAAGAAAATTTCAACAGGATTTAAAAATGCCCAAGAACATGTTGTACCCTGCTCTGCTGCTGTCACCACCAAAACCACACCAGCCTAATGAGTTTATTTGCAGCACACACTGTATGAATGACATACGAGGCTGGGTTATGTCTGCATCTGATGCTGAAGCAGGAGGTGTTCAGATCCCTCAGATTTCTTATGTAAAGACGTAGAGTTTCTGGTCTTACAGTCTAAGAGGAGATAAGAAGGGGCACATTCTTCTACCAACCAAGTTTCTCAGAAGGGAAGACACATTAGAATCCTCCATGGAAAATTTGATTGACTCCCTCCAGATGCAAAGAGGAGGAGAGCAGTATCAGGTAGGTGGATGGAGGCATGCATAGGTAATTTGGTCATTAATAAGAGTAAGCTTGTTTGTTGCCCTTTATTCTCCCATTTATGCCCCTGAACATTTTGAAATATCAAGGAGCCACCATCAACAGAAGTTACTGTCACCCTGACGTTTCCCAGCCTCACTCCAGGATTCAGGTTGGTGAATCCCCAACCTGGTGGATGCTTGCTTGCCCCTGTATCTGAGTGGCTGCTGCAAGAGGTTCATCACTCTGCATCACAAGGATGGCATCAGGTGTCTTCTATCTAGGGGAGGAAGAGACAAATTTGAGGACTGAGATCCTGAGCCCAAATGCTAAACAAGGGTATTGGAGGAGCCAGAGAGGAAGCAGTCTTTGCTCAGTCCTTTTCAGTTGTGTTTCAGTTTCCTTAGGATCCTGTCATCACCAGTAAAATGGCAGTGGTGTGCTGATACTTAAATAGAGAAGGTGATTTTAAATTTTAAGGCTATTCTGTTCTCTGCTTGACTGGCTGCATAAAACAGTTCACTGGGTTTTACCCAGAAACAGAAATTAATTATATATATATTCTGCCTTTTCTCTTGTACTTACTTAGTCACTATCTGATCTGCCTTCTTATTGGCAGGTTTTTCAATAAGTTGGAAAGAGGGCTTCAGTGAACGTAGGCCATCTACTTTAACCTTGAACTGCTGATTAAACCCCACTGCAGAATCCTTTTCTCTGGGGTGCAATAAAGAGAAGAAAGGAGAGAAGTGGATGAGAATTTACTTTTCCTTCCTAAATGACTTTTGTGATTACCATTTCCCACCTGTCCTGAATCATGGTAAAAGGTTTATAATTGAGTGTCACAAAACAGAAAAACACATCCCCACTCTTCTCCAGTCAGCTTAATCAACACGTTTTCCTGGCTAACTTCAAGTGTTTCAGTGCTGATGTCTGTGTAAGTGGATGTCAAAACCAAAATAGCTGTATCATGCAAAAATATCAAAAGATGTTTTGAAAGCACTCAAATATGACAGGGAGGATAAAAGAAACAGGCTTTGTGGGTGATAGAACAACTCAAGTAAAACCTATTTCTCTTACAACAAATTCACTTTGGATAATGTAACTATTTTTGGATGACAGAAAATGTCAGTGGAAGTTCCTCTGTAGCTCAAGCATGGAGATATAAGTGCAGAGTCATGGGTGGGTTTGGGTGAGGAAGGACCTTGGGAGGTTCTCTGGCCCAACTCCGAGGCTAAAGCAGGACCTGCTTCGGTATGAGGCTGGTTTGCTCAGTGGAGGTCAGTAGCTGGTGAATAAGGGATATGTACTGTTTCATTGCAGGAGTTAGGTATCTCTTGGGTTGTGAAAGAGCACCTGTTTTATGGGAAGGACATAGATGATTTTATTTACAAACTCTATAGTCTTTAATGAATGTGAAGCCACAGATGATTTCAGACTTCCAGAGCTGCAGAGGTTTTCAGATGCAGTTTTCCAACACTTCTTTTAGTTTGCTAGCTGAGTGTTGTAGGAGCAATGATCCATGGAAATACTACCTAGTGTGCAGGGGGGGGGGGGGGGATATCAAAAAAAACAACCAAAAATACAAGCATTTGGCCAAAGTGCCCATCTTTATGCAATCCATAAAGTTATCACGGCTAATGTGTGTGCACTGCATTTAAAGTCTTGATGCCCTGAGTGTACTAGCTGCTGCAATAGGTCAGCCAAAAGCCAGAAAAGATAAGCAGAGCTGACTGCAGCTCCCCTGCAAGTGGTCCTGCTATGCCATATATTCCTGTGGCCCATCTCAAATGACCAGTCTGGGTGCTCCTACCTATCATAAAGAAATGTGATACTGGTCTGTGTTACCTAGTGGAAACTTCTGTAGATCCCTGCCCAGCCTCTAGTTGCTATTCAAGGAGGAACACTGGTTTGCTGTATCCTCTCCCAGGCAGAGATGCTGTCACTGTAAAAACATGCCAGGTTCTGGCTTGATGTCAGCACGTGGATGGACTTTATGCAGTTTGAGACCCTGGTTCATGTGTGTGACCTGATTGCATGCTCCTTTTGGCTTGCATGCTGTCTCCTAACCTGGCAGCTGGTGAGAGTGGCTTCTCCAAAGACAGGTGCTCACTGCACCCTCATATAACAAAATCTGATAGTTTTTGGTAGAAATGTGTCTACAGATGGGATCATCTCTCTCATGTGGTCCATGCTATCAGTAGGAAGCATGAGGTGTAGCTGTTGGTTTGCTTGCTCTCAAGGCTTGTGTGGCTGTGCTGCAGCAGCTCAGAGGGCAGCCCAAGTACACATTGCTGCTGATGAAGGGAGAAGAGATGATTTCAAGACGGCAAAATATATATCCCAGAGCAGGACAATCTACAGTAAAGTGAGGCAGAGCTGATGATGAAAATGGTGCAGGCTGTGAATAAAACTGCTGTGCAGTGGCATCAAGAGATGAAATAAGGACTAGATGTAAGGTATGTGTGAGAAGCATGGGGTATGCTGCGAAGGTGTGAAACAAATATTGAAGAGGATTATAGTTGTGTGCTGAAGTGGATAGAGAGACCCACAAAGGGAAGGAAGGGCAATGAGGAATGAACCTCAGTTGTGAACTAGATGACAGTAGAGCAAACAGAGGATGTGAGCGTCAGATAAACAATCTGTCCAGAGGGATGAGCATCAGATAAATACCTGAGGGATGGAGCAGATACCTTCAGTCCTATGCAAAGAGGGAACTGGATCATGCTGGGACCGGAAACAAGATGCAAGACACTGACACGAGTGCTTTGACAGGTAGCCTATAGGATGCACAGACATCCTTTGAGACAGTATGAAGTAATGGGCTATGCTTCCAAGGGGTGGTGATGGGAAAGACAGAGCATGGATATCATGCGTAATGAATGTTGTGTGGAGCAGTTGTCCAGCATGTCCAGATCAGGAACTGAGCTGAGTGTATAGGAACTAAAGAAGATGCTGCAGACAGTAATGTTTGCATCTCATCTATTTGAAAATAGAGCTGCAGCAGGTAGAAACCTCTGGTTACCTCTAGTAGCTTGCATCAGCATCACATTTGTCAAGATGCCTAGAGGGGAATTTGAGTGATGTGGAGTGCCACTGGTGCACAAACAGTACTACTCTGGCAGAGGCTGTGCAACCCTTCAAGATGCTCACATTGCTCCTGCCAACTGACTGGCAGCAAATGGGCCAGACAGAACCACGGGAGTGTTCAGCCTCATATCTGCTGAGAACCACCCTGCTCTAAGCCAGGGCTTCACGTGCACTTGCACACACATGCTTTCCTGTTAACTAATCAGTGGGGTTAATCAACCCCATCCTTGGTGTAGAGACCTGAGTCATGAGGCCCTGTCAGTCTATAACAGCAGGCAGGCAAAGGAGGCTGGTGAATGCCATTGCCAAATTGGGTCCACTGGGGACATAAAAGGAGAAACAGCTGGGGGACTCCCCTCCATACATCCCCACTCTGCAGCCAGTTTGGGCAAATGCAGTATTCCTTGGAGACATGTCCAGCTGGTGGAGTGTCTGAGGAAAACTAGCCAATGGAAGGTGGCAGAAATGCTCGATGGTGCTGAGAACGCAGTGTGAAAGCTCGTTTGCTGTGTTAGTGCCTTTGAGGGACCTGGGGAGGGGGCATGGAGGCCGCCATACTTGGTCCGGCCATGTGTCCCCATGCAGGTGCCATTCTCCAAAGCAGTGTGGGGTGCTCACCCCAGCTCCCCCACCCAGCAAACTCCCAGCCAAAGGCAGGGGTCTGAGGATGCATGGTCCCCCTCTCACCCAACGAGTAACAAAAGCATTGCCTGGAGCTGGATTGCAGGGGGGAAGCGAGGGGGTAAGGTCCCTGACAGCTGGAGAATAGAAGCTGGAGAGGGGGTTTTTGCTCATGCACATTACCTGGTGAATGGGAGGCTGCAGCTCCTGCTCCACAGCTTTAAAACTTGTCTACATCCTCAGCTGGGGACCCTTTCTTGCAAGCAGCAGGGAAAGAGAGGGCAGGAATCAATCTGTGACCAAGGCCAAAAATAACCCCTGCCCTGCAGCTACCAAAGTTGTTCTCTGCTCCTACAGGCTGGGGGAATAGGGGTGCTGGAGTTGCCAGGGACATTGGAGGGCACGCTTTGCATCACCAGGGAACCCTGCCAAGGAAAGGCATGGGGAGCTGAAGCCTGAGAGGGGTAGTGAAATGGAAACCATGAGCCAGAGGGTTGTGCAAGGCAATGCAATCCTCTGCCGGCAGAGCCATGCAACTGTGGAGGGTGCTTAGGCAGTGAAACCCCTTGGGGCACCTGGATTGTTGGTGGGGTACAGCCATCTGGGGTTTGCTGTCTGTAAGATGTTCTTACTTAAACACTGCTTTCATATCATGCTTTGAGCATGGCTTGAGTTCAGACAAGCTCTCTTGTTGCACATCTATTCTCCTGCTTCTTGTTCCAGGTCTCCTCAAGCCCTGATGCATGGCAGAGCCCTGGTAGTCTTAGCAAGAGGTCAGAGTGTGCCACACACAAGCCCACACACGACATGTGCTATGTGCTTCTGAATTCTTACATGCCTGTGACCACTTGTGTCAGACAGCAGAAAGTCCCCAAGCCCATCACAGGCTCTAACTAATTCACGTGTAGTGGGGCAGCAGGGAAGAACCCCTGCCCAGCCAGGAGAGCAGAGGCTGCTGCTCTGTGTTGGGATTACAAGATCCAGGATGCCACAACCAGGTTTTAAGCAGTGACCGTGCACCATGGAGTTGCAGGGGACCCACAATTTGCTTCTGAGGTGCCTTTGCCTCAGATACCCCTCTTTAGGTTCTGCCTGCCTGCTGGGGTTGTAAATATAGAAACACAAGCCCTGGAGCTGGGTTTTCTTTTTCCTCCAAACATGTCCCTCCCATCTTAGCCTCATCTGTGCAATTCCTCCAGCTGCTCCTATACATGGTATGACCTTTTTATCCCCTTCCCTTGCTTCGCCCTCCAACCCCCCACCCCGTCCCTGCTTCCTTCCCTGCCCAGCACAGGGAGCCTGGGGCCAATTGGCTCCTCCATACGATCAAATGTCACTATAAGTTGAGAGCTGCTCCACCTTGGGAGGCTCGCAGATCCCAGCCTGCCTGTCCCCTTCAGCAGGGAGCTCGGTGCTTCTCTCTGTTCCTCCCAGGTAAGCAGGAGCCACAGCAAGGGATGCTGCTGTGGGGATAAAAGCTGCAAAGGGGCTGGGTCTTGGTTTGAATGGAGAAGCATCAGGGGAGGGTTGGGGTCCACAGGATCTGGGATCTGGCAGAGGATCCTAAGAGGCACTTTTCCTTCCTGGCTTTGGTTAGGCACTGCATGATGTTCGTGTCACCTGCAGTGACTCAGGTGCTCTGAAGTCTCAAGGGTCAGTGGTAGGAGAAAAGACCCTTCCAAAACCGAAGTGTGGGGCTGGGAATGACATGGCATCTCTTGGGGCACTTGGCAAAACCCTTCAGTAGCAGGAGGGAAGCGCTGACCTTCCCTCCCTGTCACCCAGAGAAAAGGATGGCTGAGGTGGGAGGGAGGCAGGACAGGATTGTTAGGAAGCTGCTGGCAGGCGAGGAAGACTGTGGGGTGTGGGACCAGAGGGAGACCTGAGAAACACAAATGTGGTCATGGAAAACTGCCCCATCCCATGGAAAAGAAGAAAACCGTGAGAGAACCTCCTTGTGCTTATGGAGGGGCAGGAGGATGGGGTTAATTCAGAGTGGTGATGGGATGCTCCCTGTGTGCATGGCTTCAAACCCCTGCAGTTGGTATGGCAGACTGCCCCCTCCTTGGGGGGATATCTCAGCTTTGTTCCTAGGAAGCCCCCTGCAGGCATCGGCCAAATTGTAATACACCAAAGACAAGGATAAAGGACACATTTTGGGGCAGGGAATCAGGATTTTGCTATGTGTCAGTGGAGCTTGCAGCAGCACTTGGGTTCTGCTACCCTGTTTCAGCAGCAGCACTGCAGTGGATGCTTCACTTTTCAGCCCATGGGGAGAGAAACATTTTCTGCTGGAAAGTGCTGTGCAGTTCAGAAACAAAGGGTGGAGGCAGAGGGATAGAAGAAATACAGGTTTTAAAAGGTGTATGTTTATATATAGAAAAGTATATATAGATATTTAATAGAGATACAGAACATCTATTTTTTAGTGTATATACATGTATGTAAAAAAGTAGATGCAGTGGGTTTGCAGAGGCTCCTGCTGGGAAAGCATGGACATGTGGTGCCTAGTGGACCATGCCCTTAGTCCTTGCCTGATAGCTGTCCCTGCCGGGTCCCACTGACCATGCATGGCTGCTTTTGTCCTCCCCCCTTTCCGTATGCCTCTTGCTACCTTGCCTCCCTTGTATGGCCTGGCTTGGGAATGGATGATTGATGGGCGGGTTATTTCCAGGGATGGCCTGGATGTGTAAGGCAGCCCATTCCCCCTCCCTGGTGCATTCTCAGCTGCTAAGAGGCTTCTTAGGATGTGCTGGCTCTGCTCTTGCAGCCAAGAACAGGAGCATTTGGGGCCAAAAGGGACATGGCATTCCTGCCTATCTGGGACTGATGAAGACTTGGGTATTTGTCCTTCCAGACATGACCTGCGTAGTTTGAACCAAATGCAGGAAATAACCTTTGATTTAACCTTTGAGGGTGGGAGCAGGCAGGAAGTTTTTGGTCTGGTGAAACTTTCCCATGTATTTTGATTTCCCTCCAAATGGTTGGCAGCATTAACTAATTGGTTTTATTACATCCTTAAGCCTCAGTCAAGACCAGATCCCATTTTTCTGCCACTGTACAAACAAAGCCCAGTTATTGCCTTAAGGTGCTAACAGCCTTAATCCAAGGCTGCATTTGCTGTGTGTAAAGTAATTTCCACAGAAGGGTAATCTCGAGCCAGCTGGACACTTTCTGTTGCCTTCAGTGAACTTAATCCTAACTGCAAAAAACACCACTCTGAGCAGATTGCTTGCTTTATTGCCTTGTGGATGTAGATATGGTTTGGTTTTGTTGGCTGCTTTGGTGACAAATTTAGCTACGTGGACAGTGCTGGGCATCCAACAGCCTTTCTCTCATCTTGGGTGGCTGTTGCTATGATGGTCTGTGTTTTGCCCCTGGCTTTGAGGGACCAGATGGCTTTTGAATGCTATAAAGTGCACAGACACCTTGTTCTCCTTGATGTGAGACCTTTTTGGCTTTCCAGCCAGGGCAGTGGCAGTCAGCTACAGCCTTAAATGCCAGCTCCTCCTAATGAAGTGACTGAACTTGGCTGAATGTTTGGCCCTTGCAAGGCTGAAATCTCCATGTCCCCCTGATTTTTTTGTCCCCCTTACTGTAGCCTGGGGGTTTCTGTCTGGCTCATCTGCACAAAGTCTGCCAATGCACTTGTTACTAATTCATTTTATCTGGGGCCTAGAAACCTCCTCAGGGTTGGGGTCTTATGGTGTCAGGGGTGCTGGCATTCTCTCTTGGCTTTTATAGCATGCAGACAGATGCCATGCAAAATCCCATTGGCATTTGCAGCGCTTGGATTAACAAATATGGAAGGGTGTAGGGGAACAGCCAATGTGGCAACCGTTGGCAAGATCTCCTTAGAGCTAAATTGGAGACTAGATGAGCTCATTCCAATAACTGTTAATGGAAAGCCTGATTGCAAAGACTCCCATTGACTTCAATTGCCTTGGAAAGAACAGCATACACTGCGTTACGTGCCTACCCTACACCAAACAGACATCGATCAGACATTTGTTCTCTTCGTGCATACGCAGTGCTCTTGAGCTGATTTCTTCTCCACCATTGAGCAGTATTACTTCTCACTGGAGTGTGAGGGAAGAAGAGTTTAGCCCAGCGCTCTTTAAAAGTCCTCTTTTTCCCCTCCACCTTGGCAAGAAAGAAATCTGAATTTACAAATTAAAGGCAGAATCTGTGGGAGGATTGGCCATTGACTTGAGTCTTTACAGATCACACATTTTGGAAGAAGCCAGCAGCTGGGCATCTGGCAGGTTCCCTCTCCATGCTTTTTCAAGGGGAAGCTCTGCTAACCCACTGCATAAACCAACATAATATGTTACTATATGTATTACTAATAGACTGAATAATTTTTGGAGGCTGAAATGAGATTGCAGACCTGCTAAGCTGCTCTGCAAATAGCCAGTGGAAGTCTTTATCTGGAAGATTGGATGATCTAGATAAAAAGACCAAGGGATAGAGATCAGAGGTGGTGTAGCATTCAAATAAGTAATAGAAGAAGGAGCAGGAATCAATGCAGCAGGAGCTGATGCAGCAGAAAAGCCTTCTGCAGAGCTGAAATTCCTCCCAAACACAAAGTTCCTCCCGGATTCCTCTTGCCTCTTGGGTTTAGAGTACCCAAAGTAGTCCTGTTGCACTTGAGGAGTGGGCGATCACAGCTGCCAAGTTAAAAGCAGCCTGGGACCAAGAGATCATTGAACTCAAATCTCATGTGTCCTTGCAGTAAGTTATCCTCCCATCAAGCTGTTCAGACTGGGTCATAGCATGGCCATTGCTGGCACTACTTCCAGGGCAATGCTGAATTTCAGATAGAAAATAAATGAGGAACTAGAAGAAAAAAAATCCAAGCTGTTTAGCACTGCTTAGAATATGGGGGTTTTAAATCCTGTTGGTGTTAATATATGGTGCCCAGGGTCATTGCTGGGGAAGGGAGAGAATCCCTTATAGGGCAGGGTTGGAGCCTAAGGGATTACTGCCTTCCTCTGAAATAGAAAGCTGCCAAGCTGCAGTTGTTTCTTTTGAACATAAGTCAGCCCACCTGCTCCTTCAAGACATCTCTCATATATCAGCTGAGTAATCAAGTCATGAAAGTCACAGTTTGGGTTTCCCAATGAGGAGGAGCCTGGCTTTCTAGTTTAAGACCTGATGTGGATTTGGAGGAAGTTTTGAGGGGCCCTTCCCCTCCTCTTCCCTTAGCCTCAGAGCAGCTGATGCTTTTAGAACCACAGTGTTGCACCACTGCCATCACAATATCACACCAATATCACAGTCTGCACTGAACCCAGTGCAGACTGTATTACCATGATGCTTCGCATAGCAATGCTTCTCCTTCTGACTCCAGCTGGAGTTCCTTCCATGCTGTAGCTCTCTGCGTGTGGTGGTCTGCATGCAGCCCTGACTCAGGCCGCACAGAAATGCAAGCCACAACAGCACCATGGATCAGTTCACTTCTGCCCCCCAGTGCAAGGATTGGTTGCAATAAACGCAGCTGGTTATACCAATGTGAATTGCCTACCCAGGCATTTGGCAAGTTCTCATCTTAAGCTAATTAACAGCTAATTGTTCATTCATTCATCAGCTGTATAAACCAAACACACTTCTGGGTGCTGGCAAGTAAGTAGGTATGTGGGTATATTGGTAGTTTTAGTTATTTTCTTTTTGGCTCTGACTGATGCTTTGTAGCTGGCACCTTCCCACTCGTGGAAGCGTAGAAGAAGGAAAAACCTGTCTGTTCTTACTGGAGTGATGGAAATGTCAGATGGGTGCAAGAGGACATCCTGATCTGTGCCCATCTCCTGAGCTCTGGATGTTTTGTTACTTAAAGCCAGGACCAGGTTTCCCCTGGGCCTGCCTGTGGGAAGGAATTGGGTTGGCAGGGCATGTCTTTCCTCTTCTCCTTTGACCTGGCTGGCAAAGGTCTGTGCTGCTCCCAAAATGGCAGTGTTGGTAGGGGATTGGCTGCTGTGTGGGAAAGCAGGTGCCTGGGATTTTTTGCCCTCAAATGTGAACCCATCTGCTCCTGCCTTGGCATTTTTTAGGAGACGCTCTCACTAATAACACTTCTTTTTTTTCTCTTTATCTTTTGTCTAGAAACTCATTGCCAACATGTCTGATACCGAGGAAGTGTAAGTAGAGAGAAAGCTGCCTGCATATCTGTTCAGCTTGGCTCCATGCAGCAGTGAGGGCATGTCTGCAGGGAGGAGAGCCTGGGTGCCACTCTGTGCACAGCCCAAAGCCTCCTGAGGAAATGGGGAAGGGCTGTCTTGGCTTTGAGTGTCAAAGGGTCCATCAAAGTTCACCTGTTACTCTCCCTGTCTAACACAGGACATCCTCCAAATACTTCTACACAGCTCAGCCTGTGGCCTTACCTGGAGAAGGGAAATAAAACACACAGTGTGGTGGAGGAGCCACTTTCTGCCCTGGTTTAACAAATCTAGAGTAATATAACAAAACCCAATGGGGTCATTGGACATTTTTGCATCAGTAGGTACAGGGAGGAGATTTAGGGCAATCATGGGATCATGGGCAGACTTGCAGTGGTCACTAAGCCTCCTCCTCTCAACTCAGCTCAACCTGTCATTTTGTCAAGCCTGCTCTCAAAAACAAATTCCAAAGATGAGGTTTGGCACCTTTATCAGACAATCTCTTAACATGTCCTTCATTCAGGGTCTTGCCCCAGGGCTGCTCTGGGGTTTGGGTTTCTTGCAAGGTGATGGTAAAACAGGAGAAGCCGGCAAGTGTGGGCAAGGAATGGGAACAGGCCACAAGACTGGTTTTAGAACAGCCACAGGATGAACACTGAGCAGCATCTGGTTTATGCCAAATTTTTATTAAACAGCCTCAGGGTTCATGAAGCATTGTAGCACATCTGGGTTGGTGTGGGCCATCAGCTGTAAGCTGGCTTGCCTGGCACAGTGGGGCTGAGGTCCAGCTTCATCAGTTCCTGCACAGTGCTCAAATGTGGGTATCATGTTGTAGATCTGTGGTGGTAAGATTTTTCCTGGATATAGAACCATAAACACCTTCAGAATTTGAAACGCTATTTAAAATAAAACCCAAACCCAGTCACTTTACTACTTTTAAAACCAGATGGTTCCTAGGAGAGCAGAGGGAGAATGGGGGAAAGAAGAAAGACTTCAAACAACAGTACATTGGGTTGCTTCGATTTAAAGCTTGGCAACAATATGGAGTGGAAGAAATATTTACGCAGTTTCAATAACTTTTTTTTCCCTCTCTCACAGGGAGCAAGGAGAGGGTAAGTCTTAATTCTGTCTCTAATTGCTTCCATGCAAGCCTTCAGCATTTGCTGGCCGTGTCCATCTTCTCCTTTCTGCCCGCTGTTGAGATTTTAACAAAAAGTCTCACTACCGTTAGGCAAATCAGAGTTTTCTTTTCTCTGTGTATGTTTGTCTGACTATCACCAGCTTCTGGTGATTTCACAGCACTTGTAGCACAGGAAGACTTGTCTCTCTTTGTGCTGCAGGCAGCCCTCGGGGTTTCAGCCCCGTACTGATGCTCTGTTTGCAGGGGACGCTGCTATTTTTCGTACGGGCACTGCCATCTGCTGGCAATTCGTTTTGAGGCTTTTGTATACACAGTATTTTCTGGTTTAAAACGTGTCCCCGCCCCCCCCCCCCCCCCCCCCCCCCATATACAAGCAATACACATAGAAACTACACACATGGGGCTTTTTTTCGCTGTTTTTTTCTTTTACCTTGAGGCCTTCTCTGACACTTTAATCCTTCTAATGTGTGTGCACACTTGAGTTCCCCTCGCCCAAGAAAAAATTCAATACAATACGGCCTTCCTCCCCTTTTTATACCTCCTCTTTTTCTCTAAGTCATTTTACTTGCTATTTTACTTGGTGAATTGCAAATGGCCTCTTAAGGACCTTCTTGCCCAGCATCCATGTGAGAGCAAAGGGCTCTGCCACTGGTAACATCTTACCAATCTGTCAAGGCTGATGTTTGATTTGTCTGCTCTTTTTTTTCCCTCCGCCTATTTCAATGCAGAGGAGTACGAAGAAGAAGGTAACAAAAACCCTTGGAACGTAATTTATCTTTCTTTGAGTCTTTGTCCTGCTTTTTCCTTGTCTGTATTTCACCCTTCTCTTTGGTGCTTGCTGCTAAAGGTGATCTGAAAGACTTGATCAGTAAATCAGTCAGAAATTATAAAACCAGCTAGGTTTGGGCTGTGATGTGCAGAACCTTCCCATTATGGCAGATTTCTGTGAGCCATAGGGATGGTTGTAAACCTGGAAGCTAACCTGCCCCTTAACTTTTAGAGCAGGGATTAGCACAGAGCCCACACAACGTATCATCACTGAAATCCTGCCACTCTCACTTTGGCGATGTCCAAACAGAGTTTAGATATTGAAACTGAAAAGAAGAGCAGGTTGATCAACTCCCAAGGAGCACCTGACAGGGTGCTGCTATGGATAGAAGAGGTGAGGCAGAGAACTGACTGACAAAGATGAAGTTTTTTAACATGCCTTTTGCTGGCAAAAGGTGATTTGACAAGCTGCTATAGCCGATCTGGAAAGATGGAGCATGAAAAGCCTTTCTCACCTGAGTTGTTTCACCTTTTGTAGGCAGCGGGGAGAGGAAGATATGGAGATGTATCACTGTCTTTGCTGGGCACTTTTGACATGCTGGCTCAGTTCAGGCGAGTGTAGCTGCCAGTTGTCATCCTGCATTTTCCCAAGGTGTCTGGGACCAGGGGACAAACTCTGGGGCTGTTTCCCAGGATCTGCCCTTAGTGTCCCAGACATCTGCTAAGGGGTCAAGAGCAAGACCCTTTACTAGGAGGTAAAATATTTGCATGTGGAGGGTGTGAGATCAGTTCTGAGACAGAGACATGTCCCTGTGTAGAAATGGCCCTATAGGGGATTTTACACACAGCTGCCAATTTTTTTTTTTTTTTTTTTTTTTTGCCATGGATTCCCTCAGATTGCTGCAACTGGCCAATGCCCATCAGTAGCAGGAACGGAGGTGTGGCTGTGGCCAGGCTGAGGGTAGTTCCCGCCCTAAGGTACATTATTCTTTAGTCTCTAATTCCCCATCATGGGTTCTAAGGAGGTCAAGGGCTCAGAAAAAAACTGAAAGAAAGCAGAGTTGTTAAATGGGCTGTAGAGCTGCCTTTGGTCAACATCGTACGTCTAGTCCTGCCTGGAGAGGCAGAGCCAGGGATGTGAAGGTGCTATTCATGCTCCATCCTTCATGCCTTGTCAAATGTCCAAAGAGTAAGCAAAGGGTGATGGTCCTACAGACAAGCCTTCTTTAAAGGAGAAGCATTTCTTGCCTTTCTTCTTTCTTCCCTGTCTACTTTTGGGTTTCAAGAATTTAATGATTAATGTGAAATTAATAGGCAGGTGACTTCCTATTCCTTTAATCTGCATGACTATCTCCTCTCAGGTGTTATCTTCTTGCTCCCCACTCTTGTGTGACCTTTGCATTCTCTTCCAAAGTCATCCACTTCCTTTCCACATAACTTTTCTCCATCACTTTCTAACCACTTTTTTTCTCCAGGCCTCGGCTCACTCCAATACCAGCTTCTAACAGTTTTCTGTTTTCATTTTCTTGCTTGCTGTTGCTTCTTGTTCCATGACACTTGCCACCTGAAGCTCAGGAAGAAGGTTTGTGGCATGGCTTCACTTTCTTTCTCTCTCAGTGTGGAGGAAGAATGCGTGTGAGGAAATACACATCAAATGGTTCACACCCAGTGGCCAGGACTTGGTCCCAAGCCACAGACATCAATGCAATGATGGACATTGATGTCATTTATTGAGCTGGTAGGAAATTGGGCCTGGTTTTTGTTTGTTTTGTTTTTTTTTTTCCTTTTGTCTAAAAATGGAACCCAAAACAGTTAGATATACATATGTATAAGAAATAAAATACGCATGTATATGAAAAAAAGTATATAATACACACATATATATAATATATATACAATCTATGTGTATTTGTGTATATGGAAACAAATATAAGTATTTTTTTGGTCTACCCTTTTAATGAACTGCTTGACAATTTTGTCTCAACAGTGCCAAGGCTCCTCCTTTCTTTCTGAAAACTTATGTTTTTAAAAAGGAGGGGGACACCCTGCGAAGTTTATATCCATCTGTTGAAAATCAGGAATTGATTTCTTTGAAATGTCAAAAATTGATAAATGTTGGTAAAAGTTTTTGCCATTTGAGGAAAAAAAAAAATTAAACTACAAGAAATACAGAAATTTTATTTTGGTTAAAAATGCACCAGAAGTCAGTTTTAAGAAATTTTAGCCAGCTCTAATAAAGAATAAAACAGTGAATGCCTTTTTTAATGTGGTTTTCATTTGTGGTCATGTTCCCATATTTCAGTAACATTTATAACCCCATCACATGCCCATAAAAATATTATTTTTCATTCTCTCTCACCCCGTAATCCCATCATTGTGTATTCTTAACCATAATGGCCTGAGAGCCTTGCAAACCTCAAGAATGTTCCAATAAGTTATTTCTTGTTTTAATTTTCTTCTCCCATTCTCTTTGCTGTGTGACTTTTCCTATCTGCAGAAGAGGTTCAAGAAGAAGGTATGTGAAATGCCTCTCAGCCCCCCTCTTTCCTGCAGCAGGTCTTGGTGCCGATGTATGCCTTGATTTTGCAAGGTGGTAGAAGAAAGCAAGACAAAGATGCTGTGACAGATGACCTGCAGGCAGAGGGCTTTTCTTGTCCCTTGAAGAAGTTTCACTGAGGGTGCCCCATATCCTTGCGGAGCATACCTGTGCGGACATCCATGCTCTGGTTTTGGGGAGGGAACAGCAGAGGAAATGCAGATACCATCCCTTAATCCAAGCCACAGCAGACTCCAAGGCTGATTTATAGCCCTGGGTGTTGGCAATGCCCGCTGTGGAATAACTGAGGTCTGCCTAGAGAGGTTTCTATCAGGTATCAACTGGTTTCTTGTATGTAGCTTGGCAGATAATGATTGGATGGATTTTGAAATCAAAATCCATCTGTGGTAAGGTATGTGTGTAGCCATATGTCACATAGTACATATTCTATAATATGTAATATTATATATAGTACATTGTATATATTATAAGTTTATAGACTATAATATATCATAATATATATAATATTATTTATAACATAAATAATAATCCTGTAGAATGCAGATATTATTAATTGTATCTATATAGATGCTGGCAAGCAACCCCAGCTGGCTCCCTACATTGCATGAGGCGTTTGCAAGGTGGGACAGAGAGGGCAGAAGAAGGGCTGGAACAAAAACCCACCCTTTGCATTTGAGAGGTTCAGGATGTGGTGCTCCAGGTATGAGGAGCCAAAGGGTGTGTTGGTTCTGCATTTGCAAAGCTTTGAGCTATGGGCATATTTGAAAAAAGGGTAAACCTGTTTATAATGCCATGGGAGACCCACCCTCGGCAGTTTGCAGGGTTTTCACAGCATCCAGATCGTGAAGGTTTTACATTTCTTTACCTGTGCGAGCTTTGCTTGCCTGTCTCCATTTCATCTTCTCTATTCCTCTATTCCATACCCTGTGCAGTTTATTTTTAGACCCCCTGTTGCACTCACACACTCTTTAATCTAACTGTTCTTGTTTTCCATTTCATTGTTCTTGCTCCCTGTCATGTCCCACCTTATGAAGCTCAAGAAGCAGGTATGTGCCATCAACTTCCAAATTTCTCCCTGCCATCTCCTTGGTGGTGGTGGGGATTCAAGGGTGGTACAAGAGAATCAGAACTCTGTTACTTTGCCTTAATCCTCCTGTTGTCTTTTCTTTCCACCTCTCCTCTGTGACTAGCTCTGCCAGAGGCTAACAACCAAGAATGCTGTCATTCCGTGCAAGGTCTGACAGATGTTAGCTAGGTGGTAATGCAGCCTCTCTATCCCTCCTGCTCTGCACAGAGCTTGCCATAAAGCCCATCCTGGCAATGGCAGGAGGTTGTTCCTCTAAAACTACAATCAGAGAGAAATTTCAGCATGTGTTATTTGAGCTTACTGTGAGGTTTTCCCTCTCTGGTACGTTTTTGCCTCTTCCCTTCACATGCTCAAGTTGTTTCCCAACCTCATGTGCCTCAGATTCCCTCCCCTCCTGGCCATTAGTGCATCATTTACTGGGATAGAACTTGTCCCTCTAGCTTAACAGGGTTTTCAGCCTGTGTAATATCAGTTCATGTAATAACGTATTTCTCCTAATGTTCCTTTGCATCCTGCCTTGTGGCTCTTCCCACCTAAAGAAGCTCAGGAGGAAGGTATGTGACATGACTCCTGAATTCACATCTTTCAGAGTAAGCTCTGGTTTAGCCAATAAGCCATAAAATGGTAAAAGGAAACAGGAGATAAAGATAGGCATATTAATATAGAATAAAGCTTATTTTGTTTGTTGTACTCCTTTCCTTCATGTTCTAAAACTAAATGCACTGGCTGGCAATGCTATGTGGTAATTGTTGCATGAAAAATAGAGAAGTATGGAAACTGCTGCAAAATGTCAATCTCTTAAGAGATTGAAGGTGGAAAAGCCTTCACTCTGAGAAAGATTGGACCACACTAGGTGGCTTATTTTGGACCATTTGAGGTGGGTCAGGTCTCTGGATGATGTGCAGATGTGCCCACGATTGGTCTGCTGCTACAGCAGCTGCTGACACTGCAGCCATGGTAAGGATTTGCTCTCCTTTGCTGGGCTGATGTTCTTATGATAGCCCTTACAGCTGCCTCTTTGTTCAGCTTTAACTCTGTTATACAAAGCAACTGGTGAGAATTTTGGTGCCTTAGCTTTGCAAATGATTGAAGATGGCTTTTTCTTCATGCAATGGAGTTTCTTGACCATCGTTTCACTGTGGTTGAATTATACACGGCTGCATGTGCAGCCATCTGCCACTAGAAACCTGATGGTTTCAGGTTGTAAATCCATTTGGGCAAGTATCAGGGTTGTGAAACAGCATGCTGCTCTGGGGTTTATGCAGGATTGCGGGATGTGCATATAGGACAAATGTCATCTGATATGGCCACTTAAATCAGCTTTATGTGTTTAATTTCTCAGACCACTGGTGCCCTGTTTTCAGTAGTGCTTTTCATATCCATATTCATCTTATTTCCTTGCAATATATTCTTAGTCTTTTCCTCCCCCTCCATTTTATATGAGTGAAAAGTTGTTCTGACATTTCTAACACTCTTGTCTTCCTTTGCATCTTGCTCTGTGACTCTTCCCACCCACTAAAGCTCATGAAGAAGATATGTGCCATGACTTGCAAATTCCTCTGTTTCTGTCTGGAGGTGGTTGAAGAGGAGAGGATGCAAAAATACCCTCCGCACACTTGCTGACAGCTGCTTCGCACTCGTAGGATAAAAGGCATGATGAGTAATAACTACTAACCACTGCTCTGGAAACAATGCCCGAGGCACAAGCTGGGCATTGTGTATATATTCCCTGCACTCCGATGTCTCTAACCAGGCTATCAGTACAGATACCAGTTGGTATGGGGATAGGGTTCCTGAAACTACTTCCTCTCCACCATGCACCAGGGCTGGAGGTGGGACAGCCGTGCCGTGTGGCAATGCTACGTCCCTTGGTTTTGCACACCTCTTCCTCCTGTTCCCCCACCACTGTGCAGTGACAAAGCCCGCTTTTGCAGCAATATATGTGGAAGTGGAGACACTTAATCTGAAGTTGCAAGCAACAAGTGACACCAAGGCATACCTAGTTTTTCTGTTGGGCTAAGAATTAGATTGAGTGTAATTGTTTTAGTTGTAGCATATTTGCAGAAAATGCCTATTCAGAACAAAAATGTAGTTGCATGCTTTTGCCATAAATATTGGTATTTTTCTCTATTAATGTGCATTATGCAAAACCAGGGGTAGCAGGGTTACATTGCTGCTTGATTTTATAATGTGAACTGAAGTCCAGATCTGGTATGACAGTCTGTGTGATCAGCAAAATAATAAGTCATACTTATGAAAGCATCAGCCTGCCAGCCCAAACCCATTTACCATGTTCAAACCCTTTAACTTTCAATTGTCCTTCTACCTCCCCTCTCTGCATGTCCAGCTAGGCTTTCATCAGAGACTTTATCCTGCAGGTCAGAAAGCAGTAACATGCTTGTACTTACCTTCCCACATTGGTGAACAGCGCTACACACCAGTGGTGAAATCCTGGGCACTAAGGAAATCAATGCGAGCTCCTCTGAGCCCATTGATTTCCGCAGAGGCTGGGATTTGTATGCACATGAATAAGAACAGGTTGTCTATACACATTTTGCACATTCAAACCTATGAGTAATGGACTGGATTTAAATACAAGTAAATATTTATGTCAAACACAGGCTACCAATGGTACTTGATTTATAACATTACGAATATATGTTAGTCATCTGTATCTTTTATCTCCCAACATCCCCTTGTCCTTCCTCTTCTTTCTAATTGACATCCTTATTTGCCCTCAATTTCTCTTTTAATTTTATTAATGTTTTTCTATCCCTTTAACCGTTCCACCCTGGCTAAAAAAAAAAGTGTAAGGTGTTCTTTAATCATCCTTTGTTTCTTGCTCTAATTCTCTTATCTTTCTTTGCATTTCCTTCCTTGCTACTTCCCTCTTAAAGAAGTCCATGAACCAGGTATGTGACTTCTGAATTCCTCTGCATCAATCTGAAGGGTTATTGTGTGCTGGCAATTCAATTGTGCTTGGCAATTCCACAACTGGGTCATGTTCTGAATTGGGACAAAATGAAGACTTTTCAAACAAACAACAGCAGCAACAAAAAAGGAGGAATGGCATGTTTGGCAGCTATTCAAAACTATTTTTTTTTTTATTTTTATTTTGTCAAAACAAAACATTTTGTTCCAACTTCCCCTCCCCCCTCTTTCCTTTATGGAAGACTTCCAAATTCTGAAATGAAAATTCTATCTTAGATGCTTCTGAA